AAGTGCATCCACTTTTCTGTCTTGAATGGCATATTTCAGGTCATCTAAGCGATCAACCATATACTCCAGAGCACTGTAGTCACAGTTGTTCACATTTGCAACAGCTCGAGCTATTTCAACTAGCTTGTTTATCTGTCATTTGACAGTATGCTTATCAACATAAAAATTCAACAATAAATAAATATGAAGAAAATATGACAGAAGTTCATAGATTATACTTTGTACATGTTGATAATATGCCTTCATCTAACGTAATGCTCATCTATATATGAAGAAAATATGACAGAAGAAAATATGCTTTCATCTAATATAATCTGCATGAAGAATAACAAATACTGGTAAGTCTATACCTGTTCAGAACTCTCAAGTTCAGATAATGTTCTTCGTCCACTTAGTAACATTTCTATCTGAGTGGTTCGTGGAGTTACCAATGGTGATCTTGGTGTCAAGCTTCCAGCTGAAGATACCTTAGTTCCTTGATCAGGTTTTAAGCAGATGCGTGCATCACATGATATTCTGGGTGAAAGGTTCAGGTCCTCCATGACAAAAGTATTGTCAGGTTCTGCAGTAGAATCAAGCAGGTCTTCAGAGCATCTACAAGTCAGGTTATTTCTCTCTAGAGATAAATCATTGAACTCTTCATGCACACTTGATGTTGCCGCTGTGACAACATCGAAGCTTTCTCCATGAGTATCAGTGCTTTTTGGTGTGCTTTTTGGAGTCCAGGATTCCAGTATCCTTTCAATGGTTTCACAAACTCGTTCAAGCCGCTCATTTACAGTTAAGCCTTTCAAATCACATCTATCAGCAATTGTGCATATTCGAGAATGCTCCTCCACATGTACAATGGGTATTTCAACCTCACAAATCCTGCATATCATCGAATCCTCATATGTTAGATTTTGCTGATCTCCCCAGAATCCCCAAGAAACCTTCCGCGTTCTTGATGATGATTGGGACTGTTCAGGATGACATGACAAAGAATCCAAATTTTCAGCATTTTCGTCTTTGACTAGCACATGATCCAGTTCATCTTTGGACTGAAAATCTACAGCTTCCTGATCTTTTTGCCTTTTCAAAGCAGCAGATGGAAGTTTTCTCCAAGAAGACATCCTATAGCTTACAGGAGTTGATTCAACACTTTTGTTTGTAGCAACCTCCTCATTGTCAATCACAACACTTGCATGTTGATCAGCTTGACTTTGTTTTGTTATCAGTTTGTCTTTCTCTTTTCCTTGTGATATTTTTAACTGTTTCTCGGCCATCTCATGTCCACCAGGTGGAGGAATACTGGATTTCTGCTGTGCAGCCTTCAAAATTTGCTCAGAATAGACCCCAAGATCACTGAGTTGGTGAAGACTCAGAATGTGATCTTGTTCATATCCACTTTCCTTCTGGAATTGCACTAGGCGAGTGCAACGAGTGAGAATAAACAGTAGGCGTGTATGAGCTTGCTTGAGTATCCCCACTGGCAGTTCTTGACGTTTGTCATCTAGATTTTGAACAATAGATTCGCATTTGATCCAAAACTTGGTAGGAGACATCTTTGCGCATCGTTGAGCAACAACCAACAAATCCTCCAACTTCTCTCTCGATTCACGCTCACACACTAAATTTTTTTCAAGAATGCCCACCAAATCTCCAGCGAAACCACCCAAGTCAGAATCAACTTCTTCCTTTAATTTTTCAAACTTAGCTCTAATCGCTGCCATGACTTCCTACAACATTTATTTTGGGGGGAAAGAAGTGTTCAAGAAATTTATGTATTTTTAAATGCGTAAATTATACCAACACTCCTTAAAACTTCGTAAGATTGCATATAACTCTCTTACTTTTTAAATATTTACATCAACTTCTTTTGCGAAGGAATACGGTGTAATATTTTTCAAACAATCAAAGAGATAGTGCAATACCTGAAAGCTGCTAAATATGATGTTTAAAAAAAAGCAAGGAAGTTGTATGATTCAGGAGTGTCAATATAGTTTACTAATTCTAAATTAATAAACAGTAAGCCTAAACTTGAAGAAGTTAAAGGAAGAGTACCTCCATGTGGCCAAAGGCACGATGTTTCCAGATTGGAAATGGTCTAACTCCTTTGGAGTTGAGTTCATGGGAAAAACTTTTAATATCAGGGTTTCTCTTTCTGCGACCACTCGTAAGTCGCATGATTTCCTGAAAACGTGGGGATTGCATTTCTTTGGCGAAGGCTGCATGATGACCCTGTGCAAAACACATGCAATGAACCTGAGCTACCTACATTTCTCCAACTATCGATCATGAAAAGGAGATTACCAAATAAATAAATACTAAGTCAGTAAAAAATCTTATACACAATAATATATATATCATATCACCTCTAGCACGGGAATGAGTTGCGAATGAGCTCTCAGCGATTTCGATTGGCTCAAATGAACTTTTTCCCCTTAAAGAATAACGACATTCGCAAAAGCACGGAAATGATCAGTAACTAACAGGAAATGAAAATGAAATTCAAGCGAGATTAAAAATAAAATGAATATTGTTTGCGGACCTAGGCTTTTTCTTGGATTGGAAGATTTGGATCTAAGTCTAACGTCGTTCGCAGTGACAGCATCTTGTGTCAGGAATGAAGGAGCGCCGAGGGAGGAGGAATAGCGAAGAGGCGAAGAAGAGGAGCGCGTGCGAATGTGATTGAGCCCTAGCGAGGACGCGAGCAAGATGTTAGGATCGCCGCGTTCACCTTCCTCTTCCTCCGGCTCCTCATTGCCGGCTAACTTACTCCGACGAATAGGAATGGGAGGAATCTTCTGGAGCTTAGATCTGCCGGAAAAAGAGGACGGCGTCCCCGGCGCGGGATCGCGTTGGTCGGTTTTGGACGGAGAATGCGGTGGCGGACGGGAGGACGACATGGATGGCGATGAGTTTGGGATTCTTCATGGCATTGTGAGAGTGTGTGGGAGAGTGAAGAGAGATTTGAACCAAGAAAAGATGGATCGTGTGAGAGAGGGAGGATGAGACTTTCGCGTTTCGCGGGAAAGGAAGCCTTAGCCGAGTTCGTTAAGGAATGAAAATCATTGTCAACGTGCTTCCCGCGAACAAAGTGTATTCAATATTACGTGTCTTCTGCTCCCTTAACCGTTCCCATACACCCATACACTATTACTTAGTCACTAACTTCCATCATAAATAATTCCCATATTCATTATTTAATTCCTCCTAAAATTTATTTTCACTTTATTAAATTTAAATTTTAACTTTTCTTTCTCTATTTTTTTTAGAAATACACCACCCATTTTTATCTTTTAAATTAAAAACTGTTGATTTCATTCACCGATTGTCCTGTCATTACTCATTATGTGTCATTTCTATTTATGTTGTCTTATTAAAAAGATTAAACCTGAATTTTAACATCTCACAAATTAAAACTGACATTTAACATATTTAAATATGAGCTACTCAAATTTTTACATATTCAGAGAAATAAAAAATATATTTTATCATATTTGAAACTAATAATATTAATGATATATTTTTAAAAAAAATTTAGAGTGAATGAAAAGATTAAAAGAATTCTATTTTTCAAAAAAAAATATTTGTTTCATTTAAACTATAATATAATTTAGGAAAAATCTATTAATGACAAACTCTATTACATGACATTTATCTAACTTTATTTATGATATCTAATTTTATTTACGACATCTTATCATAATTAATAAAAATTCTTAATAATAAAATTCTATTAACTTTATTTATGATACTATATTCATCTAACTTTATTATACCATATAATAATGTAATAAAGATATTTATATAACTTTATTTACACATAATAATGACAATATCATTCATATTTATGATTCTACCATTCCTTATAATTATACTTTTATCTTTAGATAAAATAAAGATAGAAGACTTGTGATTATATTAGGATTGGTAGTTATTATTTTAATGTCTTTACCTTCTTCCTGTAATGGCATTTTATCCACGGATTTGGATCTTCTACAGTTTCAAACAAAACTGCAAGCGGTGCAGTTCTAAATCTAGCCCTTAAAATTAATAAATTTAATTTTAAATATTAATTTATTATGTAATGAAATAAATTTAACGGATGAGATATGTGCAGTTGCAATTACGACTGTAGACGATCGTAATCCCATTATCCACGTAAACCCGTTTCTTTTTCCTCATTACATGAACAATAATCCATCAATTTGTATGTATCTTTCTTTTAAATAATCTTCAAATTATTGAAATTATATAAGTAGTGTAGAAAATATTAGAAATTATATTACGTAATCTCTCAAACATTGTGAAAAAACAAATCAGTCTCTTAATATTAATAAAATATTAAATATATCAACCCAGATACAATTAATAGATATTTAAAACTTTATAGATTTATTAATTTAATAACTATTTAGGAAAGAGGATGGACTAAATTGAAAGTATATTCTCACATGAATTACCATATTGCTTCTGGCCAACTTTAAATTCACAGCTCGAGTTCAAGTTTTTGCATGTATAAGCTTATATTTCATTTGTCCACTACACTTAAACATCACCCATTGCAGTTTTAATTATAGAACTTGTACTTATGCAGGTAGCTGGGCCTTTGAAGAACATAAAAACTCTTTC